AGCATTTGCTCAGGGACAAGGTTCAGAGAGCAAAAATGGCTGGAAAAGAGAAATGAAAGGAAATATGAAACACAGGGAGTTAGAGGGGACAGTGGAGATTGTAATCAGTGTTATCAAATGCAGTGTGCTTGAAATGTAAATAGAAAATCAATTGCTCTGTAAACTGTCACTCAAATCACAATACAAAATTATATATGTATTATATGCCTTCGAGATTGTAGTATAGCTTCTTGCCACTATGCCACCAGAGCTTGAAAATAGAAATAGAAATAGAAATAGAAATTATTAATATATATATCTTTGAGTATTGAGGCATGCACCCATCAAATGTGATGTTCATATCTACATCACAGGCACTCTCTGGAATGTACCCACGTCAACATACCAGTTGTGAACAATTCTTGCCACTGGAAAGTGGTAGTTCATCCCTTCAGCACTACAGGGAGACTATTCTTGCTAGACATTTTTCAAGATAAGGAGCCAGGCTATGCCATCAGGAGCTCACAGATTCAAGGGCCAATTAACCAGCATCTGAAACAGTCTTCTCTATACCCAGGGGCATAGGAATTGCTTCTTTACAAAAACATTTCTAGTTTTATTATTATTTTAGCATAATGTTGATGTCAGAGAATTTAAGAGACAGTCAAGAATTCTAGAAAACTGACCACTGGGTCATTAAGAGCATAAGTGTCTAGGAATTCCTAGAGTTATGAAAATAGAGTTTTGTTGACCACCATAGGCCTTAGAGCCAAGATCTTTTCCAAAAGGGGAGGAGAAGAAGCTCATCTACCTAGGATTTTTAAATAGACAAATCTCTAGGATTCTACATAGTATAGGACAAGATGCTGCCTGGCTTTACCCCTATCCTTACGATTGTTGCCGTTTGAGCCCATTATTACACTTCCTGGTGTCAGTCCATCTCGCTTCCACTGGCTGTCTACATTAGCAAGCCTGACGTCCTTCCCCAAGATCTGAGCACTCCAGATAGCATGCCCAGAGCATGGGAGAAGTTCATCATCCTCACATCTAGAAAAAAATGTGTCTGTACTTCCTCCAAGAGAGATTTGCTCATTCTCTTGGCAGTTCATGTCAATATAGTCAATATTCTTTGCCAAGAGCATCATGCAAATGCATCAGAGAAAATTTCTGGAGAGAGCTTAATAAGCACTTTGGTACTTACCATTTAAAAATAAAAGCCCCCTGCCGTATATTTGTCTTCAGAGAAAACCCTATCCGACGAAAAAGTAGGGCCAATAACATTAAAGAGAAGGCAGTCTTCGCCCAGGGAGCAACAGCGCCACCTGGTGGCATTTCAACAATCCTTCCTGAGCCATAGTCTCCTGTGTCTTCACTTCAACCTTCACAGATGGAACTGACTCTTAGCTAGCTGACTCACCAGCAGGTCTTTAGGGGCAGTTAATCATAAGGGATGGGAATGCCCAACCTTCTTCCGCAGAGCAGCTGGTGGATTCGTTATAATTTAGCGGGATTGCAGCGGAGCTTCAAATGGAGCTCCCTGAGCAACACTCTGCGGAATATTAACATCGGACTGACAGTTCGATACCACCATACGTATACCACCATTTATATCACCATAGGTATAAATGATTTACTGACACTCATCTGATAAAATTAGCTCCTTACTTTATTTTTTTTTTTAGCTCCTTACTTTAATTATTTAAAAGGACTTATTTCCATTTTTTTTCTTAATTATTGACGTATTTGGTCTTTTACGCTTACAAGTAGCCATGCATCTTCATGCTTTCTTTTTTTTTCTCAGAAGGCAAAATTTTATTTCTGCAAAAATGTGCATAGCAGCACAAAGTCTAGCAGACAAGCACCTCATGCTTTCTTAAACAAATAAACAAAAACTGAACTTACTAGCTTGCTGTTAGGTGCCATTGGGTCAACCTGTTACAGTGATCTATGAACACAGATTAAAACCTTCTCACAGTCTGTGCTGTGGTCAAGCCAATGGTTGTAGTTACTGATCAGCCCATCTTGTGAAAGTCTTTTTCCAAGGACCAGCAACTTCCACTAAGGTGCCCAAAATATGGAAGACAAACAAAGCACTCTTGTTGCACTTCTTTAAGATAGACTTGTTTGTTCTTTTTGGAAGTTAATGGAAGTGTAAAACCAGTACAACCAACATGTTGTTGTTGTTTGTTAAGTGCCACTGAGTTGTAGATGACTCATATCGACCCTCTGAATGAAAGACCTGAGCACTTGTATAACTTTCATCATTTTTCCAAGTTCATAGAGTTAGGGGCAACTATTTCTACCTCTACTAACTCTACAAGGAGGAAAAGTCCCCATCAACAATATAGCAGCACAAAACCACTTCTAATGAGGTCAGATATACTCCCACATTCCTGCACTTACTTCTGTAATTTCCAACACCAACCATGGCTCTCACTAGGGATGCAACAAATTACATTTCAGATTAGAAATACTAAAGATAAAATTCTTCAGTCAGTAGGGGAGCTCTGGTGGCCTAGTGGCAAGAAGCTGCAACTACAATCCCAGAGGTGCACGATTCGAATCCACCAGATGCTCTGCCGGGGAAGGAGGGGCAATCTCCTCCTGTACCAGTCAGATCTGATTTGACGGTACACGCACACAAAAATAATAAAATAATAAAATAAATAAATAAAATTCTTCAGTCAGAATATCTTCTTATCTGGTGTGCTGGAAAGGCCTCCTTCTTATCTTCAGGCTGATGGCTCTGGGTACTACTTAAAGGCTCTGGATCCATGTTACAGAGTTCATTGGATCCATAGTCAGCATCTATGGTAACAGCAGTAAGAATCAAAAGCTGTGTTGCATTGGGGAAATCTACTGTCAAGGACCTCTCCAAAGTGCTAAAGAACTAAGGAATGCCTGGTGCAAGTGATGGCATTTTTCAATTGCTTTCTATGCATCTGAAAGTTAGGCATTGCATAAGGAAGACCAAAAAGGAAGTGATGTCTTTGAATTGTGATGTTGGTGAAAAATATCAAATATCCATCACATGAACTACCAAAAGAACAGCAACCAAAAAAAAATCTGTCTTGCAGAAATACAACTATTGTGTTTTTTGAAGGCCAGGATAGTGAAACTTCATCTCATATGTTTTGGAAATGCTTCAGGAAGGGCTGTTGTTGTATGTCATAGTTGCCTGCAACTCATAGCGACCCTATGTGCAGCAATTCTGAAGCCTGCCCTGTCCTGAGTCAGACTCACTGACTCTGACACACGTCCCCCCATTACATCAATCCATCTCATCCAGGGTGTTTCCCTCCTGTGCTGTCTCTCCACCCTTCCAAGCATGATGTCCTTCACCAAGGGTTATTCTCTCCTTATGCCCAAAGTATGTGAAGTAGAGCTTCAAAATCCTAGACTCCAGGGAGAAACTTGGTTTCACTTTCTCCAGTGCAGACCCATTTGCTTACTTGGTGATCCATGGTATGTATGTTCAAGACTCTTCTTCTCCAGCAATAGAACTCAAAGGCATCAGTTCTTCTTCTGTCATCCTTAGTCATGGTCCAGGGAGGGGCTAGTCCTTGGGGGAAAAAGTATGTGGAAAAGTTGAGGTTCAGTGAAAGAAGGGAAGACTCTCAACAAGATGGATTGACAGAGTGACTATAACAATGGGTTTGAACATGGCAAAGATGAGGATGAAACAAGGGAGGGCAAGGTTTTGATCTATTGTTTATAGGGTTGCTCTGGGTCATAGATGACTCAAAGGCACATAACAATAACAACAACAACACTCAATCATAGGGTTAAAGCTGAAGGTGATGACTGGAAAAGCCACACTGAACAGCTCCCTAGAGCACAGCGGGAATTTCACGATGCTTTCACTTACATAAGATTGAAAACTATTACATTATGTGGGACAGAATGAATCCCTAGATCTGTAACAAACAAGTATCAGAAATCCCATTGCTCAGCATCAGGACAATCTTCAGTCATGTCCAGTAATGATGCAGTAAACTGGGATCACTTAAAGATTATGATTGGTAATCACTTTAAGCAACTTAGAACCAGGTTCGTCTGTGTTTTGTTTGTTCTCATTGTGGTTAATATATGCATAACAAAGCATTTTTTCACAAGTACAATATGATGACATAGAGTTCAGCATGCTATGTGATCACATCAGTTCCCAAAATTTTCATCACCCTTTAAGTATTCCCTAACTAATAGCCTCTCCCTTCTTTTGGCCTCTGGAAACCACTTAGAGAATATATCATGGCCTAGTGGCAAGAAACTCTGCTGCAATCCTAAAGACAGCGGTTCAAGGCCACCAGCTTGCTCTGTAAGAAAAGGGTGGGCAATCTCCTCCCATGCAATTATTGCCTCTAAAAATTCACTGAAGGGTGGTCTATTGATCGGTTCCAACTCTAGTACACAACAACCACAGAGTCAAGTATATACAGATTTAAGGTTATTAGTATGAAATCCCTTTGAATATAGTTATACATATTCCTTTTATCCAAAATAGATCGTTTGGGTATTAGTGTTAAGCAATAGTAACTTTTGATATTTATTTAATGTTCTGGTTTCTGAACATTGATATCTTTGTTCCTCCAGCCACCAGTCAATCTTCAGTGGCTGCAACTACAACTCCGGTATCTTCCTCCACACCACCTGCCACCACTGTAACTTCCATTGCCACACCTGGCGCAGGTGGCCCTTCCACCACCGCGCCTGGCGCTTCCACCGCCGCGCCTGGCCCTTCCTCCACCTCCGCGCCTGGCCCTTCCGCCACCGCCGCGCCTGGCCCTTCCGCCACCGCCGCGCCTGGCCCTTCCGCCACCGCCGCCCCTGGCCCTTCCGCCACCGCCGCGCCTGGCCCTTCTACCGCTGTGCCTGGCGCGGGTGGCGCTTCCAGCGCCGCACCTGTCGTTTCCAGCACCGAACCTGGTGCTTCCAGCGCCACACCTGGCACGGGTGGCGCTTCCACTACCGCACCTGGGGCCACTGGCGCTTCCACCACACAACTTTCCATTTCTTCAGGCATGACTCCCACTCCAGGACCTTCTCTTCAACCACAAACTACCACAGGTAATTCCCCTATAAATGCTACATTTGCCTTTATTACTAGTTAAAAAACTTCAGGCAACTCAATCCCAGATCCATAAGAAGAACAATTCCCTCAAAGATGTTATTGTTCTTACATGCTGCTGAGTTGCCTGAGACTCATAGTGACCCTATGTACAACAGCTCTGAAGCCTACCCTGTCCTGAGTCAGTCTCACTGACTCTGATACACCAACCCCCAAGGCCCCAGTTATTGTATCAGCCCATCTCATCTGGCTCTTCCTCTCCTGTACTGTCCTTCCACCCGTCTAAGCATGATGTCCTTCTCCAAGGACTGGTCCTCCTGGCCACGTGCTCAAAGGATGTGATACAGAGCTTCAAAATCCTAACCTCCAAGGAGAAACTTGGTTCCACCCTCTCCAAGACAGACCTATTTGTTCCTTGGTGGTCCATTGTATGTTCAAGACTGTTCTCAGGCACCACCACTCAATGACATCAGTTCTTCTTCTGCCCTCCTTTGCAATGCATTACCTCAAAGATCCATCCCTTTAACAACTCCTCAATGTGGGCTCATGGCATTGTGGAGGTATGTGAGTTCTGATGGGATAAGGAGATGGACCCCAAGTTTCTTCAGATAGGACCTAGGTATTTAACACCTTGACCACAAAGGCTCATAGTGATGACAGAAACCCTGAGAGATCATTCTCAGACCCCTTCTATTCTCCTCCTACTTCTTCACTCATCCTCCTTCAAGATATTGGCCTGATGTAGGATTTTTCTTTTTTTTTTTTAGCTTAAAGTTTGTAAAATCGACCTCATTAACTTATCCACCATAACTACATTATCCCCTCTCTCTTGTAAATTATTTCACCACAATGAGGGTATTTGGGAAAGTAGTTTTCACTTCCCAGGGAAGGCCAGGCCCATATAAGCACTCTTTAGTCTCGTTAGCCTAGCTCTTTCTCAAATCTACTGAAGGAGTCCGTTTTACACCGAAGTTAAAATGGTAAAGGGTCACAATCAGGAACTGCAACCAAATCATGGAATTGGAGCCCAGGGAATAATAATAAAAATCAAGGAGAAGTACTCCCTTAGACACTCTTTGTTGTTGTTGTGTACCATCAAGTCAGAATCAACCCATCGTTGTCCCTCCAGTGGCTTTTCAAAGGCAGCTTGGGAGGAGATTGTTTACCCTTCCTCAGGGGAAGAGCTGATAGATTTGAACTGCCCATCTTTGGGATTACAGCACAGCTCCTTGCCACTAGGCCACCAGAGCTTCCTAGGCATTGCCAAAAGGAAAAATGTTTGAGGGGCACTTAAGTCCCCTACTTCATTTCTCAAAAATAAAGTTGTTGTCAGCAAACATTATCTGTAAAGGGCCACATAGTACTTTTTTTTTTTTTTTTACATTGTGGGTCCCCTAATGTCTGTGTTATATGCTCTCCATGCTGCCATTATGGCATGGTTGCAGCCACAGACAATGTATAAATGGTCTGCCTGGCTGTCTTAAAATAAAACTTTATTTTTAAAAATGGAACTATGGGCCAGATCTAGTCCATGAGCCATAGTTTGACAAATTTTAGTTTAGAATAATACTCAAACTTTAAAGAGTTCTTAGCTTCAACTTAACGAATGTGTAATAAAATGTAAATAAGTGGTAAGAACCTGTGCTACAATCCCAAACACATGCGGTTCAAATGCCCCAGCTGCTCCACAAAATAAGAAAGTGTGATCTCCTCCTGTGTGATTTACTGCCTTTGAAAACCTACTGGAACATCCGCTATGATTTGCCTCTGACTCGACAGCAGGCGTTAACAGCAACAAAACTCAACAGGCACACAGAAGACATTAATATGTCCTTCACCACTAAGGAGAAAACACATCAGGAGTCATTTACCTGGTGTCTCCAGGTGGGAGCTGCATTTAATTTGATTCCTAGGATTTTCTAAATAATCTTTGCAACGTGGATGGAGTTTTCCTTAAAAAAAATTGAGAGAGAGACTTTGCATAGACATTTACATGAAATACTGATTCACAACCTGTAGACCATCCTTTTGCTTGTGGGATATAGCGCTAGACTTTCTTTCATCCTTTACAATCTATTTTAAAAGACCTGGAGTGGCACAGACCATAGGGATTTGTGCTGTGAGCCCAAAGGCCAGATCTCTCTGATATATATATATACACACCCACCTCAGGCAACACAAAAGAAAATAGAGTAAAAAGAAAACAAATTTATACAACCCTCCATCAAACATATAATAAAATATAATTGAAGGAAGAAGTCTCCTTCCCATCTTATACCTCTAAAACTTAGATCTCAGTCTTCCCCATCAGTGGTAACTGCTGTAACTTTCCTTGTTGTAAGTGGTCTTGTGTCTGCCTCCAGAAGTAAGCTCTTTAAGTACAAGCATATTCAGCATTTCTATATATTCTTCCCCTTTCCTATGCTTATTGTTCTGACGGTACTATATTGCTTTAAGAGCCTGTCAATTCTAAAATGAGAAGATTCTTACTTAGAGATTCTTTGATAAGTATCTCAAGACAGCTCTGAAGTATGTCAAGATCAAAGCTCAGGAGTGAAAGACATGGCATGTTAAGATCAACGTTTGGCTACTGACTTAGCATTCATTTTTGTTGGTATTTTTTTACTTTTCTTTCTTTGCCTATGCTCTCCAAATGTCAGTTTATATACTTTACTAAAAAAATACAGTGCTTTATGTAACACAAGGACCACTGGTGTCCAGTTTATAGGAAGTTGCACTGCTAGCCCAAACACTGTCTTGGGCAGTTCAAGTCCACGCAGCAGCAGCTCGGGGGAAAGATGAGCAGTTTCCTCCATTGCACATTAAGGCCTCAAAAAACAAGGATCCGGTGGCTCAGTTGTTAGGGTGTTGTGCTGCCAACCCAAAGGCACACAGTTCAAATCCTCCAGCTGCTCCACAGTAGAAAGTTAGACAATCTCTTCCCACACAGTTTACAGCCTCTAAGAAAATCTACTGGAGGGTCAGCTATGAGTCAGTTTTGACTCTATGGCGGTGAACAACAACCACCTAGTGTTAGAGAACCAAAATTCTAGAGTCTGGAGGGCCTGAAGCGTAAAAGATTCCAGACAACCTTAAGGGAGAAAGCCCGTTGGCTCTTCCCCTGAGAAAGGCCCTGTGTACTCACCTCTGACCTTTGCTGGCAGCAGCCAACGGGCTCCAGAACATCAGCGATCATCTACCTGGTGGTGTTAGAAAAAAACCAAAACAAACCCACATTTATTTGTTTCTAGGTCTTCTAAATGTCCACCATGGAGTAACAGTAGATAGGAAATACCTGGGAGGGAAGCATAAAGATTTAAAAAGATAGTCTTTGTGTTATTTGCTATTATTTCTGTAACTTTTTAGTCTCTTTTTGCTATATTTAAGGTCCCACCAATCCTTGTGAAAACGCCAATTGTAAAAATGGTTCCACTTGTGTCGCTCTGTATAGTGCCTATTTCTGCCTGTGCACAGAAGGATTTTACTACAATGACTCTGCGTTAACTTGTGAGGAAGGTGAGTCACCAGGGAAGTAATCTCTTTCTTAAAAGAAAGGGAAAAGTTTCATGCATAAAGATGCTCTGGTACCCTTTCACACTTACTTCTTTATTTACTTATTTGATAATTGAACGTTTTAAAAGGATGGCTATAGAGGGTAGTGATTGGGGAAAATTTTTATTAGGTGACTATACCTGAAAAAGTAACAGACTCTGTATTATAACCATGCAAAACTACAGACAGAAAACAAAGAGCTGGGGAAAAGACACCAAAGAGAAAATGCTTACGTGAGGTTGGGTGAAATAACGGGTAGCGTGGGTTATTGTATTTTCAAAGTTCCTGCAGTGTGTATCGCAAATGCAAGTATTGAATATATTATAATATATAACTTCCATATTATACTTTATGTAATAAATAGGGATTGTATGTAAATGCTATCTCATTAAATATATGACAGTTAATATATTTATAACTTTGAAACAACCTGGGTGATAAATGCTTAAGGAGTTGCACTGCCAACCCAAAGGCTGTGATTTGAATCCACCCACTGCTCCTTGGAAGAAAGACAGGCAATCTTCTCCTGAGCAATTTACAGCCTTGGAAAATCTGCTGGAGGGTTGGCTACGAATCAGTTCTGATGGCAACGAGTGAGTGAGTGCAGGGAGAATGGTGACGCAATAGCTGCTCACTGTCTATGACCTACCTGTGCATGGAACAATTGTTGAATGTGGGGCCGGAGGGGTGCTTTGTTGTTTCTTTTCATCATATTTTTTAAGTAACTAATCTGTGTTTGAACACCCAAACAAGCAACTACTCAAAGATATCTGTTTGAAAACAAAATGAAAATTACTGCCTTTGCATTAAATAATACAGAAAGATTGTGTTTGAATTTCAGGAAAGATATTCCCTGGGAGTCTCAGGATGATAAAATCAGAAACATCTGACTTGGAAGATAAAAATTCTGAAGTCTATCAAAATTTACACAAAAGTACTACAGAATTTGTAAGTACTTTCCGAACTTCTTAGTATAAGAATTCTTTGCTCTAACACTGAGTTGGTACACTCTGGTGCCAGTTGGTTAGACAGTGAAACACACTCTCATGCGTTTGTAAGTGGCACCTGTCCTGAGCCCTCAAGGGTCACTGTTTCCCCCATACCTCCACAGGGCCCTTGGGTCCCCCACTGTGATCCTGCTTCTGGGGACACAACACCTGGCACAACAGAGGGCTTTTGACACCTTCTGTAGCCATTCTGTTCCTGTTGTTATGTAAGTTATTAAAAAACTCTTTAAATGGACAGATGAATACAGAAGGAAGTAAGGAGGTAAGAACCAGTGTAAGAGGTAAAACGGTCAGAATAAAAACTTCATTTAAAAAAAAACCTCAAACATTTTTACTAGCAGAAAGTGGCAGAAAAGTAGTAAGATTGCGCCTGTCAATGGTGGGAAACTTGTGAGATTTGGACAAATAAAGGCAGTCCCATTGAATCTTGGCACTCAAAGGTTTCACTATACAATGATATTTTACTAGGAATTATTTTCACAGATTGCAAGAGAATAAAGTTTAAAGATTTCGTTATTCCCTTTTTACATTTAACTTTGCATAAATGTCCATACTAGACTGCCTTTTTTTAAATGCTGAGTCTGTTTTTTTTCTTGTTTTTTTAAATTAAATTTTTATTCATTTTAATGAACACTTACAGAGATTTTGGGTTTCCATTCATTCATTGTTGCACTATTTTCTCTACTCTCCCCCCCAGTTCATTCCTCTTTTTTTCCCCCCTTGAAAGTTTGTTTTATTTGTCCCATTGCCACAGTGCTTGTCAAAGCCAGTTCTGATTAATCTCCTTTGTCAGTGTGTCCTTTGCCATTCCCTATCACTCTTCCCTGAGAGAGACTTCACCCTGATTCATAAGGAAAAGGGGATGGCGTATTCTCTTAGCTACTTCCTGCTGAAAAGGGACGCTGTAGGTTTCAGGGTGAAGATCTTCTCTCACTACTCTAAAGGGCCCCTTTGGCAATAGGAAACACATAGACTATTATGGAGATTGATTTTGGAATTTAGATGCACTGTTATCAGTTGTGCTTAGCCGTACATGTCCATATCCTTGAAGATGTATCATGGAAATGTTGCAGCCTAGAAGACACAAATTTAACTAACAATTTAAAAGTACATGAGTCAAAAATTAAAAAGCAATAATATTCCAAATAGAGGTTCTGATAGTGGCACAAATCAAGTTACAGAGGGAAGGTGGTTCTTAAAATAAAAGGCCTATTGACCAGCACTTTGTCTATTATAGCATAAAGGTTAGGAACCACAAGATGTAGAGGCTCAACTATGTCACTTATTGTTCTTAAGTTCTGGACCAAATTCCATCTGCTCGGAAGTCCGCATACAAGGCAGAGGTGAAATGAGGAACTGCTTATGAGGTTTTCCATCAGTTGCAACAACTAAGAAATAGTGAGAAGAGTTGGGACCTCAGAAGGCTTTTAGGACCAAATAGTAGGCTCTTGTGTCCAGGAGAAAA